AGGAACTGCGGAACTCCCTGCTGCAGTTCATACCAATGTAAAGGCTGGGCTACCGGCAGCGCCAGCTGTCAGTTTCAAGAGCCGTAAAGATCAAATGGGTCCGACCGGTCATAAATGCTAGTGGGCTGTGGCTTAATCTGACCAAGTAGCCCCGTATCTTCATTTGAAAAGTAATTGATGATTTCCACTCTTTTGCTGGAGGTATTGAAGCAGAGTCTGGGTAGCCATGCACTTGACATGCTATGGATGTGCTCTACATTGAGAATTAGATTACTTTCAAAGCACCCTTGAAAACTCCATGTTTCCAGAAACCCCATAACATTTAAAACCAGGATTATCCGATCTGTATTTTGGCGAGCATGGGATAGACTATCCCAGCGGGTAATGGACTTCCCTTGATTAGTGGTTTTTAAGTAGAACTCTGATGACGAACTCTTGGAGTTGCTTCATCTGATCTCCCTGCATTATATATCTCAGCAAAACATTTACTAGTTATGTGAGTCTTTAAATAACACTATGGCCCCTTCCACACAACTGTATAAAATCCCACATTATCTGCTTTGAATTGGATTGTATGGCAATGCGGACTCAGATAATCCAGATCAAAGCAGATATTGTGGATTATCTGCCTTGATATTCTGGGTTATATGGCTGTGTCAAAGGGTCCTAAGTGATATCTCAAGATGGTTCACCTGTTATCTCCATGGTTGCCCTCTACTTCTTTGCAGTATGACCACCTGGATTCAGACTGGCTCGGGATGCCGCCTCTTCCATCTCCGCGTTGTCTCTTTGGCCTCGGCGAAGCAGAAAACTCAATATTTGTGGTGGGAGGAAAGGAGCTGAAGGAAGGCGAGCAAACACTGGATTCAGTCATGTGCTACGACCGACTGTGAGTACCAATCATGGCCTCAAAATACATTTCGTATGGCCCTTACTCTCCCAAGCCGTGCCACATCATGGCTTAGGACCTGATTGGCAGTGGCTTTTGACTCCAATGTGAGTGGGGTGATGAATCCACTTTGGGATTTAGTCTGAACTTGAAAGGATAAGTCTTGAAGATCTTTTGGGCAGTGGGGGTTCCACATCTTCAATTTGTTGCTGCTGCATGCCTTCAAGTCATGTCAGACTTATAGTGACCCCATAGGTTAGGAGTTCCTTGTCATTCATGACTCTCCTGAAGAGTTGAGAGACTGTGACTTGCCTGAGGGCCCTTCCACACAGCCCTATATCCCAGAATATTAAGGCAGAAAATCGTGCAATATCGCTTTGAGCTGGATTATCTGAGTCCACACTCAGATGTGGGATTTTCTGCCTTGATGTTCTGGGATATAGGGCTGTATGGAAGGGTCCTAAGTTGAGTTTCCATAGTCAAACAGAGACTCGAACTCTGGTCTCTAGAGTCTTAGTCCAATATTCAAACCATTTCACCATGGTTCATGCCAAAACTTAGTCTGGAATCCTGTCATTAGTCCCAGTTCCAGTAGACTCCATTGAGCTGATGACGTTTACATATGTATTGACTTGCTGTCAGTAGATAGGGTTCACCATTCCAACAGTACTGAAGGCACCATTTCACATTGGCCAACAAAGCCAGCCATGACAAGTGCTAAAAACAAATGGAACGAGTCCCTGCTAGAGTAGACCCATTGGATATATTGAATTTACCTATATACTGCCTTAACATTGAACTGTTGACTTTCCCATTGATTAGTGCCAACCTGAGTAGACTTCTAGAGTCAATAGTTCAATGTTAAGGCAAAGTTTTATTCCTTCTATGGGTCTACTCTAGTCAGACCATTTGAGCCAAACTCCTACGACCCGATACTTTTCATACATTTTGAACTATAACCCATCATTCTGGGGATGAAGATTATGGAGCTTACCTATTTGTTGCTTTAACATGTGACACTATTGACCTTCCCAGTGACTAGTCCCAACTTGAGTAGACTAATAGAGTCAATAGTTCAATGTTGAGGCAACACATAGGTAAGTTTGATTTATCATATGGGTCTACTCTAGTCAGGCCACTTACCACTTGATACTCTTCATACATCTTGGACCACAACCCCATCATTCTGGGGATGATGGGTGTGGTAGTCCAATGCCTCTGGAGGATATCAGATTGAAGGAGACTGGCTTGACTGATTCATTTCAGATTGCGCCATATAAACACTGACCTCAAGAGCATGTTTTCACCTTCAGCGTTGGTCCCGGGTGCTGTTTAAAACATTACCATAATCCCCTTTAATTAAAACGAAATGCCAAGTGATCCCAGAGCAGATTCCAGCAGCTCAAGGAACACACAGTAAATAGCAATAATCAAGAAAACGTTAATTACTTTTGAAAGCATCCCTAGAAAAACAATCACAACATGATTTTTGAAAATATATAAAAAGGGATGTTTGAAGTTAAGAGCCTGGGATCAAAGTAAAGCTTGGTGTCTAGGTGCAGAGCTGGGAAAAGTTACTTTTTGGGCATTTTGACTGTAAGATACTGAAGGTAACTTTTCCAATCTTTGCCTAGAAGTTGTAAGGAAAGATAGAAAGGAAATATCCCCAAAAGATGTCCAATGTCATCTAGCATCTTCAGAAGGCATAGGTAGAAGGTGGGGGACGGGGGACTATTGGAAAACTAGTGCAGGGACCACAATCCAGATTGGAAGAGTCGTTCTGACTGAATTGATAGGGATGTCATTTCCTGTCTAAATTAAGGAAGTAACGTGGTTTTTCCTTCTTTCAGATCCTTCAAATGGGGAGAATCGGACTCCCTTCCTTACCCGGTCTATGGCCATGGTATGGTGTCCCACAATGATCTTATCTACGTCATAGGAGGCAAAGGAACGGATAAGTAAGTGCAAAGAAAATGGGATAACATTGACAAAAAGAGGGTGAGATGCTGCTGGAGATCTGCACCTGAGTAACAATTAAACAAGAAGTCCAGTCTCAATGAGGTGGTGGATCCACTTTGGGAGCTATTCAGGTTCTTGAGCATATTTTGGGAAACAAGAGTCCAGCATCTTGAATTTCTTGTTGTTGTGTGCTTTCAAGTCATTTCTGAATTATGGTGGCCCTAAGGTGACCCTATCCATGGGTTATCTTGACAAGATATTCCTGGTCATTGCCCTTTTTTAGGCAATGAGTTTCCTAAGTCAGTTTCTATGACCAAACATGGATTCAAACCCTGTTCTCCAGAGTCTTAGAGCAATATTCAAACCATTGTGTGTTAAAACCAAGAACGGTATTCTATTGTTAGCCCAGTTCCAATAGACCTATTGAGTTGATGAAGTTTACATATCTACTGAGTCAACATCCAACAACTGGCTCATTGGGTCTAGTCTACTTGGTCTAGAGCGGTGGTTCTTAGCCTGTGGGTCCCCAGATGTTTTGGACTTCAGCTACCAGAAATCTTAACAGCTGGTAAACCACCTGGGGTTTCTGGGAGTTGTGGGCCAAAACGCCTGGGGACCCACAGGTTGAGAACCACTGGTCTAGAGTGGTTCCCAACTTTTGGCCCTTCAGGCATTTTGGCCCTCAGCTCTCACAATTCCTAACAACTAGTAATCTGTTGGGATTTCTGGGAGCTGAAGTCCAAAACAACTAGAGGACCAAAAATTGGAAACCATTGGGACTCTAGACAAAAAGATTGAATTCATTATCCCACTTGTACTGGAGGCATAAGACACCACTGCAGAGAAGAAGACACAAGATCTACCCAAAGTTCTGAACCTATTTGTAAGATAGGCTCATGTAGGAATCTCATTTGGAAGGTATAGATTCATAGCACCATGGGTAACTCTAAATCCAGGCTAAAAGCAATACAAGAATCCTAGAATAGAATCACAGATTGGAAGAGATATGTCATGGACCATCAAATCCAACCACATGCTCAGTAGAGGATCTACAGCTAATGTATCTGCAGCAGATTCATTACTCCACAGCTGTTGGAGATAATAGAATCATGGGATCCTAGAGTTGGAAGAGACCTCGTGGGCCATCCAGTCCAACCCCTTTCTTCCAAGAAGCAGGAAAATTGCATTCAAAGGACTCCTGATAGATGGCCATCCAGCCTCCAAAGGAGGAGCCTCCACCACAATCTGGGGCAGAGAGTTCCGCTGCTGAACAGCTCTGGAAGTTCTTCTTAATGTTCAGGTGGAATCTTCTTTCCTGTCATTTGGAACCATTGTTCTGCATCCTAGTCTCCAGGGCAGCGGAAAACAAGCTTGCTCCCTCCTTCCTATAATCATATTTATACATACCAAAAACCACTTCATTGCGTGAGAACAAATTGTTAGAAAAAGTCAAGATTTTGCTGATAGAGAGAGTAAGTCTTGGGATACCTCGGAGGTTGAGGGATGAATGACCAAGAAGGTCTACATCAGTGGTTCTCAACCTGGGGTCCCCAGATGTTTTTGGCCTACAATTCCCAGAAATCCCAGCCAGTTTACCAGCTGTTAGGATTTCTGGGAGTTGAAGGCCAAAAACATCTTGGGACCCCAGGTTGAGAACCACTGGTTTACACCATTTGACTGATCTGGCCAGGGTGGTCCACGCCTTGGTCACCTCTAGAATGGATTACTGCAATGCGCTCTACGTGGGGCTGCCCTTGAAGACGGCTCGGAAACTTCAATGGGTCCAGCGGGCAGCAGCCAGGATGCTAACCGGGGCCATTATCAAGAGAGGTCCACCCCTCTGTTTAAGGAGCTCCACTGGCTGCCATTTATTTTCCGAGCCCAATTCAAGGTGCAGGTGCTTACCTACAAAGCCCTGAACGGTTTGGGACCACCCTACCTGCGTGACCGCATCTCAGTCTACGAACCCACACGTTCACTTAGTTCATCTGGAGAGGCCCTGCTCGTGATCCCGCCTGCGTCGCAAGCGTGCTTGGTGGGGACGCGAGACAGGGCCTTTTCTGTGGTGGCCCCCCGACTTTGGAACGCCCTCCCAAAAGATCTTAGACAGGCCCCTACATTGGCAGTCTTCAGAAAGAATTTGAAAACCTGGCTGTTCCGATGTGCTTTCTCAGATTAGGAACCCCAATACCAAGTCCTAAATGCACTTTAGTAGAACTAAGATCACTGCACACCGCACACTGCACTTACTTTATAATCCTACATTCCTCCTGCCATTTCAGCACTTTTAATCTTGTACCCACTTCTCTGGCCGGCCCAGTTTTAAAGTGTCTTGACGTATTGTTATTGCTGTTGTTTTAGATATTGTTTTGTTACACTGTGTTTTGTTGTACTGTGTTTTGAGGCTTCGGCCTGTGTAAGCCGCATCAAGTCCTGCGGGAGATGCTAGCGGGGTACAAATAAAGTAATAATAATAATAATAATAATAATAATAATAATAATAATAATAATGTTAGTGGTTGACTAACGGCCCCTATCCTCTCCTCTCCTTTAGAAAGTGCCTCAACACCCTGCTGGTCTACGACCCAAAGAAGTTTGAGTGGAAGGAGTTAGCGCCTATGACAACTGCCCGTTCACTCTTTGGGGCCACCATCCACAATGGCAAGATCTACGTAGCTGCAGGAGTGACCGACTCGGGGTTGACCAATGCGGTGGAAGTGTATGATATTTCAGCAGACAAGTACGTACCGTGCCCAATGTGGAAGGAGAGCCACAGCTCATGGGTTCGAAGTGCTGGGTTTTTGGGGTTTTTTTGATGGGCAAGAGACAACAATGCCATCTGCCACAGTCTTGTCTCTGTGGGTATTTCCAGGCAGTGATTCACTATGATCTCAACTGCAATGCAAAGAATTTTGGGGTCGCAAATACACTATAGATGCGAGTCAACTCAGCTATACCAGCAATTACTGGGGCACTCTTTGAAAGCTAACACAAGTTTTGTTCCTGGGTTATAAATGTCATTTCCTAATTGGATCCGTCATAAAAACATGGGGAAAGTTCATGAAACTGCAACAACTTTGTTTTTTTGCAGTCTGAACAAAAGGCTATTAATGGCACATTGAAAGGTTAAATATGTCAGTCAGAAGAACAAAGTTTCTAAAGGATAACAACTACTTTCAAAGCGAGTCTCACACAATTAAACAAGAAATAACATTTTCAAGCCAGGAACAGAGAACCTTTCGAATGTTACTTACTTAGGTAATCCCTTGTAGTCCGAGAATGATGGTCCTCCAAGTTCGGTGCCCTGGCGGTGGGTCCGTAGGTGACTGTGGAGCCCTATTCTTGATCTGCATCTTCTCCCACAGTGAGGGCATTGGTTTCCAGGTGGAAGGTGGTCCCGGTTGGGGTTGACTTGATGCACCTTCCTCTTGGCACGTTTCTCTCTTTCACCCTCCATTCGTGCCTCTTTAAATTCTGCAGCACTGCTGGTCAAAGCTGACCTCCAGCTGGAGTGTTCAAGAGCCAGGGCTTCCCAGTTCTCAGTGTCTATGCCGGAGTTTTTAAGGTTGGCTTTGAGCCCATCTTTAAATCTCTTTTCCTGTCCACCAACATTCTGTTTTCCGTTCTTGAGTTTGGAGTATAGCAACTGCTTTGGGAGACAGTGGTCAGGCATCCAGACAACGTGGCCGGTCCAGCAGAGTTGATGGCGGAGGACTATTGCTTCAATGCTGGTGGTCTTTGCTTCTTCCAGCACGATGACATTTGTCCGCCTGTCTTCCCAAGAGATTTGCAAGATTTTCCGGAGGCAGCGCTGATGGAATCGTTCCAGGAGTTGCATGTGACATCTGTAGACAGTCCACGTTTCTCAGGCATATAGCAGGGTTGGGAGGACAATAGCTTTATAAACAAGCACCTTGGAATCCCTCGGATGTCCGGGTCCTCAAACACTCTCCGTTTCATTCAGAAAAATGCTGCACTCGCAGAGCTCAGGTGGTGTTGTGTTTCGGTGTCGATGCTGACTTTGGTGGAGAGGTGGCTGCCAAGGTAGTGGAAATTGTCAACATTTTCTAATGTTACACCATTAAGCTGTATCTCTGGCATTGGAGAGGGATTGCCTGGTGACTGCTGGAACAGCACTTTGGTTTTCTCGATGTTCAATGACAGGTCGAGCTCCTTGTATGCTTCTGTGAAGGTCTTATTGTCACGTTGCCAGGGCTCTGCCTTATTCAGGTACAGATGAACCAAATACCCAGTTTGGGTTAAACAATTTAATTAAAACAGTACTTACTTTCTGGCTGTTTTAATAGTCTAAAATATAAAACATAAAGATAGCACTCAGCCACAGAATATAAAACAAAAACAGCAAACACTGTTGCAGGTTCAAGGTAACTCCATAGTCAAAAAGTCCAGTCCAGTGGTCAAATTCTGAGAGTTCAATAAACAAAGTCCAGGGATAAAGAGTCTATACCGTAGTCAAAAGCCAGTCCAAGATTCAAAGTTCCAGGATTCCAAAGGTTCAGGAGACAGGTCAGGACACTGAAAATCCACAAACCTGGGGGGAAACCAGCAGCATCTACCACCAAGATAAGACAAATACTTTCCCCCAATGCTAGGTCCTTATATCCAGAAACACCCAGCTGCAACCCATCTCTTCTATACCTCCACCCTTAATTGCTTTCACCCATGAACTCTTACTTACAGATTACTCAACCCATTAGAACTAAGACTTACATTAACCCTTCCATCACCAACTGCTAGACCTACCACCACCAATCACCAACAACTGCAGAACATGATACATGACAGTTACATAGCAGGCTTAACTAAAGAGTGCATAGAATGCAGCTCACTGTTGCATCCCAGATCAGGAAACAGGACCATAAGATTAAATCCACCACACTGGACTGTAGGAAAAACAATCCTTTTTTATTGATGAAAAATTGTTACATGTTTAGTGGCTTGCTTAGTTGGAAATACAATCATAGAATCAGGTTCACACAGAGTTTGGGGCTCAGGTTCACACAGAGCAGGCTGAACCCCAACACTCCCATCAATTTAGATGTACTGAAATTCTGCTATGGAGGAGAATGATAGATTCATAGCATTGGAAGGGGTCTCATGGTCCATCAAGTCCAGACCCTTGTTCAGTGATCTCTAGCTAAAGCATCTCTAGCAAGTAGGATGGCTTATCAACTATGGCTTAAGCTTTGTTTCCTGAAACTTCTGCTTTTCTCTGCTTTGATAGATGGGAAGGCTTCACCGAATTCCCCCAGGAGCGCAGTTCTGTCAGCCTGGTGAGCCTGTCTGGGACCCTCTTCCTCATCGGAGGCTTTGCCACAGTGGAGACAGAGTCCGGAGAACTGGTTCCAACAGAGCTCAATGACGTCTGGAGGTGAGGCCTTTGCTGGCATTCGGAGCACCAAAGTGAAAGCCCTACACACTTTTTATTAAATGGCACTAAAATTATTGTTGAAGCACTCCTAACTGGCCCCGCAAAAGGCCAGATTCACTTGGGGATTCTGGGAGCAAAAAGGAACCTTTCTGAGCTCCTTCCAAACTTTATGTGTCCAAAGTAGAATCATAGAATCAAAGAGTTGGAAGAGACCTCGTGGGCCATCCAGTCCAACCCCCTGCCAAGAAGCAGGAATATTGCATTCAAATCACCCCTGACAGATGGCCATCCAGCCTCTGTTTAAAAGCTTCCAAAGAAGGAGCCTCCACCACACTCCGGGGCAGAGAGTTCCACTGCTGAACGGCTCTCACAGTCAGGAAGTTCTTCCTCATGTTCGGATGGAATGTTCTTTCTTGTAGTTTGAAGCCATTGTTTCGTGTCCTAATCTCCAGGGAAGCAGTAAACGAGCTTGCTCCCTCCTCCCTGTGGCTTCCTCTCACATATTTATACATGGCTAATATCATATCTCCTCTCAGCCTTCTCTTCTTCAGGCTAAACATGCCCAGCTCCTTAAGCCGCTCCTCATAGGGCTTGTTCTCCAGACCCTTGATCATTTTAGTCGCCCTCCTCTGGACCCATTCCAGCTTGTCAATATCTCTCTTGAATTGTGATGCCCAGAATTGGACACAATATTCCAGGTGTGGTCTAACCAAAGTGGCTGGATAGAATGCATTGGAAACAAGAGAATTGGGTTATGTTCCACTGACCTTTAGCAAGTATGGTAGTATATTGTCTCTGCACAGAGTACTGATTCTCAAGTTTGGTCCTCCAGATATTTAGGACTTTAACTCTCAGAATCCCCTTCCCAGTGGCTGTAATGGCCATAGTTTCTGGGAGATGAAGTGCAAAGCATCCGGAGGACCAAGAGTTGAGAGCCATTAATCTAGATACACTCCAGATATTCATCATATCTGGAAACTATTCATAGACTTCTCATGAATCTCCATGAATCTCATTCTCCATAAACATAGTTTTATATTTCTCTAACTGTGGTGGTGCAACGGGTTAAACCGCTGAGCTGCTGAACTTGCTGTCCATAAGGTTGGTGGTTCCAATCTGGGGAGAAGGGTGAGCTCCTGCTATTAGGCCTAGCTTCTGCCAACCTAGCAGTTTGAAAACATGCAAATGTAAGTAGATTCTGCGAGAAGGTAATGGCACTCCATGCAGTCATGCTGGCCATATGACCTTGAAGGTGTCTAAGGACAACAACGGCTCTTAGGCTTAGAGTCGGGCACGAGTAGACTTAATATCAGGGGACTTACTTACTTATGTGATCCCTTGCAATTGTCTTCCAAGATTGGTGTCCAGGCGGTGGGTCCGTAGGTGACTGTGGAGTCCTATTCTTGACCTGCATGTTCTTCCGCAGTGTGGGCATTGGATTCCAGGTGAAAGGCGGTCCCTTTCGGGGTTGGCCTGACACACCTTCCTCTTGGCACATTTCTCTCTTTTGCCCTCCATTTGTGCCTCTTCAAATTCTACAGCACTGCTGGTCACAGCTGACTTCCATCTGGAGCTTTCAAGGGCCAGGGCTTCCCAGTTCTGGGTGTCTATGTCAGGGGAAACCTTTACCTTTCTCTTAACTTGACACTCTGTCCACCCCACTTACTTTTCCACAGTTTTGACATAATTATAGTCATGCTCTCTGCAGTGTGGGCATAGGTTTCCAGGTGGGAGGTGGTTCCTTTTGGGGTTGGCTTGACATGTCTTCCTCTTGGCATATTTCTCTCTTTCGCCCTCCATTTGTGCCTCTTCAAATTCTACAGCACTGCTGGTCACAGCTGACTTCCATCTGGAGTGCTCAAGGGCCAGGGCTTCCCAGTTCTCGGTGTCTATGTCAGGGGAAACCTTTACCTTTCTCTTAACTTGACACTCTGTCCACCCCACTTACTTTTCCACAGTTTTGACATAATTATAGCCATGCTCTCTGCACATTTGGTCCCTTGTCTACTTTCACTGCTTCTCCTTTTTTTTGGGCACAGTCAACTTGGCGCCAGCTGTGTTCATTCTTGCATTTGCAAGTTTAAATTGCCTGGGTTTCATTTTTCAACCCATTCCATTTTCTGATAGTGGTCCAGTTCCTAATCCTTGTAGCAGAGACACTGAGAAACCCTAATCAGTGAACTGTGAAGGTCTGTAATAAGGCAGCAGGAGAGCACATGATTTCCATTGGTGGAGGTGCACATTGGGATTAATGCATTGCACTTTTGGACAGATGTGCATTGGTCTGGTGGTGCATTTGTCCCACTTTGCTGGATATAGACATTATGAAACTATATGATAAAGCGAGAAGACCCACCCATCACTTACCTGAGTGTTTTCTGTGCTTGCAGGTACGACGAGGAAGGGAAGAAGTGGGAAGGCGTGCTCCGAGAGATCCAGTTTGCATCAGGCGCTACGTTTCTCCCAGTGCGGCTCAATGTTTTGAGACTAACCAAGATGTGATCCTGTCGGGACGTCCGTCTTCTGCTCCTCTTCTCCCAAAATACTCCCCTTCACTTACTTTTGTATGTCTGCGTTCAAACATTTCATGGTGCCATGCCATTTCTTTTGTTAGATAAAACCAGAAAACGATACTACCTTTGGTGTTTCCTGTCTGTTGATTGAGATTGAAGATCGACTCGAGAGGGAGAGAGATATGGGATTCCAAAAAGGAAATTTTTAAAAGTACATGCAATTCCCAAGTTATGCACAAGATAGATTATTATTATTATTATTTTGGTTTCTTCCTTTCTGTTGAAATTGTCCACATGCTTGTGGATTTCAATGGCTTCTCTGTGCAGTCTGACATGGTGGTTGTGAGAAACCATGAAAATGAACAAAATCTGGTTACCAGTATTAAAAAAAAACTCTAAAATTAAAACAGCAAAACAGCAGAGGGAAAACAATCAGGGACATCTAATCACCTCTCAACAAAAGATTCCCCCAGGCACTTCTAAGCCATTAAATGCTAATCAAGGTGGTCAGTTGAAACATTCACACCTAGCTCCAGCAGACAAGAGTCCTTTGTCCCACCCTGGTCTTTCCACAGATATATAAATCCATTTTCCTACTTCCAACAGACCTCACTATCTCTGAGGATGCTTGCCATAGATGCAGGCGAAACATCAGGAGAAAATGCCTCTAGAACATGGCCATATAGCCCGGAAAAACCTACAACAGCCCAGTGATAGAATTATTTGCTAATGTAATAAGAAAGGATGAGAACTTTAGATTCGATTTGGTTATTTGGGGTGCTGGTTCAGAAAATTGCATTGGATAGACTACATCAGCTCTAGTTTCTGATACAGAACATATGCCATGCAGTGGTTGCCATCTGTTTGCCCACAGAAAACCATATTTAGTAAGCCTTGGTACCAGTCACTCTCATTGCAACGGTGAGGCCGTGGGCCATATTTTAGTTCTTGCAGACCACTGGTGGTCCATGGACCACAGGTTGGGAACCACTGCTGTATATCTAAGTAGCAATCATAGAACCATAGAATCAAAGAGTTGGAAGAGACCTCATGGGCCATCCAGTCCAACCCCATTCTGCCAAGAAGCAGGAATATTGCATTCAAATCACCCCTGACAGATGGCCATCCAGCCTCTGTTTAAAAGCTTCCAAAGAAGGAGCCTCCACCACACTCCGGGGCAGAGAGTTCCACTGCTGAACGGCTCTCACAGTCAGAAAGTTCATCCTCATGTTCAGATGGAATCTCCTCTCTTGTAGTTTGAAGCCATTGTTCCCTTGCGTCCTAGTCTCCAGGGAAGCAGTAAACGAGCTTGCTCCCTCCTCCCTGTGGCTTCCTCTCACATATTTATACATGGCTATCATATCTCCTCTCTTCTTCAGGCTAAACATGCCCAGCTCCTTCATCAATCAGTCTTTATTATCGTCCAAAGACCCAATTTGTTAAGTGCAGAACAGATTCATAAGCTAGACCACAAGCACAGTCCTAAATGCATATGGACAAGGGTAAAACACTGCAAATATACACAAGGCAAGTTTCAACCTGAGTCTAATACAGGAAGTTGCATTAGAGAGAAACTTGGCAACAGCTAAAGTCACCTGGAGAAAATTGTCGCCTAGTAAAAATTTTACATTGAATTGGGCTGATCAACTGGGTAGGGTGAATAATATGCAGTGAATCTGCTTATAAAAACCGCATGACAATAAGAAGTGAAACATACATTCAATATGTCTGTTTGTTGTGAGGAAACACAACATACAAACTATCTACAGACCCACCAAGAAAATCCAACAAATGCTACATTCAGCAAATGACAAGAGGGATCCGCTCACCTCTGCAGGAGTCTCCTATATACCATGCAGCTGTGGACAAGTCTACAGAGGGACCACCAAACGCAGCATTACCCAAACACGGATCAAGGAACATGAAAGGCACTGCAGACTACTTCAACCAGAGAAGTCAGCCATAGCAGAGCAGCTGATGAACCAACCTGGACACAGCATATTATTTGAGAACACAGAAATGCTGGACCACTCTCACAACCACCATGTCAGACTACACAGAGAAGCCATTGAAATCCACAAGCATGGGGACAATTTCAACAGAAAGGAGGAAACCATGAAAATGAACAAAATCTGGCTACCAGTATTAAAAAAAACTCTAAAATTACAACAGCACAACAACAGAGAGGAAACAAACAAGGACATCTAATCACCTCTCAACAAAAGTTTGCTCCAGGCACTGTCAGGCCATTGTATGCTAATCAAGGTGGTCAGTTGAAACATTCACACCTAGCTCCAGCAGACAAGAGTCCTTTGTCCCACCCTGGTCATTCCACAGATATATAAACCCTTTTTCCTAGTTCCAACAGACCTCACTACCTCTAAGGATGCTTGCCATAGATGCAGGCAAAACGTCAGGAGAGAATACCAATAGACCCTGGCCATATAGCCTGAAAAAACCTACAACAACCCATACATTCAACATTCTGGTTATTGCATGGGCAAAGTCTTGCATTGCATGGGACTCCTGCAAATCTTCCTCAAAGACACCTCAACCTTTGAGGATGCCTGCCATAGATGTGGGTAAAACATCAGGAAAGAATGCTTCTGGAACATAGCCATACAGCCTGGAAAACTCACAGCAACCCACTTCCTCGAAGCACTTTGGAAGGGAACACATTGCACTTTGCCTTGGAGAATAAGCAGCGATATTTGGCTAAGATCAAGTGTAGTACAATCTCAGTAGCAGTCTTATCTGCTAGCATAAGGGACCCCCAGATTCCCAGTCTAAACCTTAGCAGTGTCACAAACAAAAGCACAACATCCACATCCATGTTTGTTTATAAATGTTGGGATGGGAATTATGTAACCTTATGGATCTTGGGTAACAGTGCTCAGCATCCAAAATTAGATGGGATGTGGTCCATTTAGGGCAGTGGGTCCCAACCTTCTTAAGGCCATGACCCCTTAATCCAGTTCCTCATGTTGTGGTGACCCCCAACCATAACATTATTTTTGTTGCTACTTCATCACTGTAATTTTGCTACTGCTATGAATCGTAATGTAAATATCTGATATGCAGGATGTATTTTCATTCACTGGACCAAATTTGATTTTGTCATTTGGGAGTTGTTGTTGCTGGGAGTTATAGTTCACCTACAATCAAAGAGCATTCTGAACTCCACCAACGATGGAATTGAACCAAGCTTAGCACACAGAACTCCTATGACCAACAGAAAATACTGGAAGGGTTTGGTGGGCATTGGCCTTGAGTTTTGGTGTTGTAGTTCACCCAAATCCAGAGAGCACTGTAGACTCAATCAAAGAGCATTCTAAAGCCCACCAATGGAATTGAACCAAACCTCCCACACAGAACCCCCATGACCAACAGAAAATACTGGAAGAAACACGGTTTGGTGGGTACTGACCATGAGTTTTGGAGTTGTAGTTTACATACATCCAGAAAGCACTGTGGACTCAAACAATGATGGATCTGGACCAAACATGGAATAGATATTCAATATTCCCAAATGTGAACACTGGTGAAGTTTGGGAAAAGTAGGCTTGACATTTGGGAGGTGTAGTTGCTGGGATTTATAGTTCACCTCCAATCAAAGAGCATTCTGAACTCCACCAAAAATGGAATTGAAACAAACTTGGCACACAGAACTCCCATGAGCAAGAGAAAATACTGGAAGGGTCTGGTGGGCATTGACCTTGAGTTTGGGAGTTGTAGTTCACCTACATCCAGAGAGAACTGTGGACTCAAACAATGATGGATCTGGACCAAAATTGGCATGAATACTGGAAGGGTCTGGTGAGCATTGACCCTGAATTTGGGAGCTGTAGTTCACCTACATCCAGAAAGCACTGTGGACTCAAAGATGGATCTGAACCAAAATTGCCACAAATACTGAAATATTGACCTTGAGTTTGGGAGTTGTAGTTCACCTACATCCAGAGAGCACTGTGCACTCAAAGATGGATCTGGACCAAAATTGGCACGAATACTGGAAGGGTGGCATTGACCCTGAATTTGGGAGCTGTAGTTCACCTACATCCAGAGAGCACTGTTGATTCAAAGATGGATCTGGACCAAAATTGGCACAAATCCTCAATATGCCCAAAGGTGAACACCAGTGGAGTTTAGAAAAAGTAGGCTTGACATTTGGGAGGTGTAGTTGCTGGGATTTATAGTTCACCTCCAATCAAAGAGCATTCTGAACTCCACCAACAATGGAATTGAACCAAACTTGGCATACAGAACTCCCATGACCAACAGAAAATACTGGAAGGGTCTGGTGGGCATTGACCCTGAATTTGGGAGTTGTAGTTCACCTACATCCAGAGAGCACTGTGGACTCAGTCAATGATGGATCTGGTCCAAAACTGACACAAATCCTCAATATGCCCAAATGTGAACGCTGGTGGAGTTGGAGAAAATAGATCTTGACATTTGGGAGTTGTAATTGCTGGGATTTATAGTTCACATACAATCAGAGAGCATTCTGAACCCCTCCAACTATAGAATTGGGCCTAACTTCCCACACAGAACCTTTATGAGCAACAGAAAACAATGTGTTTTCTGATGGTCTTTGGCAACCTCTCTGTTACCCCTTTGCGACCTCTTCAGGTGTCTCGACTGTTAGGTTGAGAAACACTGATTTAGTGCAATTTGTACCTGATGTGGAATAGGAAATATCAGGGAAAGTCTGGGAACATCTCCAACACCGGCACAGATGTGGTTCCATTGAGCAATACAATAACACAGCCCTGGGTTTTCTAATGAGATGGTCCCATGAAGAGTCAAACAAAGCAGGGTCTATGCAAACCAATGCAAACACAACAGGAATCAAGCACACCAATGGGTCTGAAATTATTAAAACCAACTTTAATTTTTTTAAAGAAAAAGAAAGCAAAGCACCATTTGCAATATCTCACTGAGCAAGAGGGATGCCGATCGTCATCTTATTTTGTCTGCGCATGCAAGAGTGAGACGTTTTGGAAAACCTTTGTCTCCCTTGGGTGAGAGGATGAGAATTTCAATGCCTTTCTTTTGCATTTTGAGATTCTTTAGTGAAGATTTCACAGTTTTGGGGTGTTAAAGAAATTGATGATTTCCCTCCCCATTGAGCATCTATAGGAGTGACATGCATGCCCATTAAGTGTGGTTTGCTATGGCTTTGTGACTTATTATTATTATTATTATTATTATTATTATTATGGTGACCCTAAGGCAGGCATGGGCAAACTTGGGCCCTCCAGGTATTTTGGACTTCAACTCCCACAATTCCTAACAGCGTAAGGGTGAACACACAAGCTGCAGCAGCTTGCTTTTGCCTCAGCCTACTGAGAACAGCAAACGTTCAGCCTTGCCAAGTTAACGGAGAGTAGTTTGGACTTAATTTGCAGCAAGGACCTAGACAAACTTTGACCCTCCACGTGGTTTGGACTTCAAAACACTGCCCAGATGTTTTGATGTTCTACCATCCTTATGGAAAGCTTCTCTCATGTCCCTGCATGGGGAGCTGGGGCTAACAGAGGGAGCTCATCCACGCTCTCCCTGGATTCAAACCTCAGTCCTGCTGGCACAAGGAATTGTGGGAGTTGAAGTCCAAAACACATGGAGGGCCCAAGTGTACCCAGGCCTGACCTATACTGTAGAATGAATGCAGTTTGACCCTTTTAAGTCTGTGTCAGGAGCAACTTGAGAAACTGCAAGTCGCTTCTGGTTGACTGTCTACAAGAACATTGCCCAGAAACTGCAAGTTGCTTCTGATTGACTGTCTGCAAGGACGTTGCCCAGAAACTGCAAGTCACTTCTGGTTGACTGTCTACAAGAACATTGCCCAGAAACTGCAAGTTGCTTCTGGTTGACTGTCTGCAAGGACGTTGCCCAGAAACTGCAAGTCGCTTCTGGTTGACTGTCTGCAAGGACGTTGCCCAGAATCTGCAAGTCGCTTCTAGTTGACTGTCTGCAAGGACGTTGCCCAGAAACTGCAAGTTGCTTCTGGTTGACTTTCTGCAAGGAGGTTGTCCAGGGAACACTCAGATGTTTTTAGCATCCTTGTGGCAGGATTCTCTCATGTCCCTGAATGGGGAGCTGGAGCTGACAGAGGGAGCTCATCCGCACTCTTCCTGAATTCGAACCTCAGTTCTGCTGGCATAAGGGTGTGACCCATTGTGCCTCTGGGAGCTCCAGTTTGACACTGCCTTGAATGCTGTGAAATCCTGGGATTTGTAGTTTGGGGAAGCACCAGCACTCTGGGGCAGAGGAGCCCTTGTCAAACTACAGCTCCCAGGATGGTGAAGTATTGGGCCATGGAAGTTCAAGTGGTGCCAAAATGCATTCATTTGACAGCGGAGAGAGGATGGAGCAAACAAATCAAGCAAGTATCTTCTCTTTTCCAAAAAATGCAGGAATAGGGAGGTATTTTTCACCACCTTTGGGTTTGGGAAAATAATATTCCCTAGTTGGGTTTCCAGTCAATGGGGCAAAGAGTAAATTATCTTTGCATACTTTGAATTTTTAGGGGGTTTTGGGGGAGCAAAACAGCCATGTTTACAAGCTGTTTTGGGGGACATTATTGTGGGGAAAATAAGACGTCGGAGGTTCGGGGACGTTAAGAGCAGCACTTTCTCCACCCCAAAAGTCCTATTACTTTTTAGGTTGGAAACCAAATTGCAAAACCACGTTGGAACAACTGTCTCGCTTTGCTTCGAGGGGAATACAAAAGGAGCCGGTCCCGGTCGTTTATGGCGATGTGCTATTTCTCTCATCTATTCAAAAAACACATGGCAGTTATACAGGGGAGTGTTAAAAAGCCGCAACCTATCTTCCGAAACATCTCTGAAGCAACAAAGGATTCCCCAGGCAGGAATCAGCCAGACTTTGAAGCTGCAAGGCTTTGCAATGCTAATTAAAGTGATTCATAGCAAACTTCACACTTGCCACCCTGGACCTTCCACAGATATAGAAATTAGTCATGTGCATTCAGGACTTACCTTGATCCGTTTCGTGTCCTGGCTTTCGGAGGGCCCCCCGGTTCGTTTTCATCTGAGCCTCCTGAAATTGGGAGGTCAGATACTTGTTTTTCGTTTTCGGGGCTGAAAGATCAGTTTTCTTTCGACCCATTTTGGGGGGCGGGTTGGGGGGGACTTCACCCAAATGCCCAAAGCACCCGGTCCTATGGGGGCCTGGCAGGGTCTCCAGCTGACCATCAAGTAAGGAGTGCTCCTTAATTGGTGCTTGGCTGCAAGCCCTGCCAGCCTCCAAGCAATCGATCCGGAAAACAGGCTTGGAGCCGGTACCCACTCTTGCCTGTTTTTCGTTTCGGTTGAATTTTCGTTCTGGGACAGGCCTTTCCGTTTCGTGCCATCCAAATGGACGAAACAAAACGGAAACACGAATCAAACGAATGGGACAAATTTCAGGCCCATGACTAATATAAACCTCCCTTGCTTAGTTTCCAATAGACCCCACCACCTCTGAGGATGCCTGCCATAGATGTGGGTGAAACGTCAGGAGAGAATGCTTCTGGAACACGGCCGCACAGCTCGGAAAACTCACAGCAACCCACCTCTCAAGCTGCTTCTTTAAGTAAAAAAAAAAGTATTTGGATCTCAATCCATCCCTTCCTATCTCTATATCCCAAATCCCGCCCATTCTGTACAGAATAAAGTGCTTTTATTATAGATACGTTTTCTTTTTCGCGCTAAAGGAGAACCACCGATACAAGCCAGTCCTTTCGCTTCTCGGCAAGAAATGCCGAATGCCGCAGTCAGATCCGAAGACGAGCATTCAATGAATCAGTTTGGATGCGAAGTAAAGTTGCTTTCCTTACCCCGGACATCTTCCTTCCGATAGCAAAGTCTTGGGAGAGGAAAGTCTACTTGTGTTGACCACTGTTCTTGCAAAAGTCATGCAAAAAGTCAATACTTCTTTCCAAAGGGTTCGATACTGTGCCGTTTGTCCCAACGTCCCGCTTCTTTGCGGCTATTGCACTGCCTTGACGTTTTCCATTGAGCCACAACCTTGTCATGGTGTCTTCCTCGTCCGCTCGTGTGTTATGGCTCTTGTTCCAGGGGCCAGCCCTGCTGTAGTTCACACACAAATACACACAATACAAAACAAGGAAAGCATGGGACAGAGTCCCCTTTGTGTCGGAGGTGGGGTGAAAACGAGCCCAATGGCGGTGAAACAACGGTGCCCCGAAGTCTCGTTTTGCTCGCAAGAGAGTCTGGAATAACGTGCAAGTGCCCTACGGAGAAAAGAGCTAGCCTAATGGATTAATAAAGTGCAAAAAAAGGGTAAAACAATAAGTCGATTTTGAAAGAAGAGCAAGATTTCTTTCGTCAAGCCGGCTCCGAAGCAGCTGACAGATGGCAACCTTCCTAGGAAAGGTCCATTTCTAGAGGAGTTTGTCTTAGTGCATTAACTCGCTAAAGTTGAGTATCTCTATAATGGGATGTAGGAAGGGTGTAGACCAAGTGTTGGTGGTTTATGTCTTTGCATGTTTCCAAGCACTGCATCCTATGCGGCTTGGAAAGCTGCGTTCTTTGTTTACAGAGCATGGAAAGGGAAGGGCTGCAGTTCCAAGTTCTAACAGTAGACATCGACATTCCTGAATTTTCTTGTTTGTGTCAGGAGCGACTTGAGATACTGCAAGTCGCTTCTGGTGTGAGAGAATTGGCTGTCTGCAAGAACGTTGCCCAGGGGACGGCCGGATGTTTTGATGCTTTACCATCCTTGTGGGAGGCTTTTCTCATGTCCCCACATGGGGAGCTGGAGCTGACAGAGGGAGCTCATCTGCATTCTCCTCGGATTTAATGCTTTACCACCCTTGTGGGAGGCTTTTCTCATGTCCCCACATGGGGAGCTGGAGCTGACAGAGGGAGCTCATCCACATTCTCCTGGGATTTAATGCTTTACCATCCTTGTGGGAGGCTTTTCTCATGTCCCCACATGGGGAGCTGGAGCTGACAGAGGGATGTGGCTCTTAATGAGACATGCCACATTATTACAGGATGTCTACGCCTCACACCACTGGAGAATTTATACTTTTTAGCTGGTATTGCACCACCTGACATCCACTGGGAAGTAGCAGCCAATAATGGAAGGACCAAGGCAGTGACTCTTCTGGCCCATCCTCTGCGTGGATATCAGCCAGCACACCAAAGCCTTAAATCAAGAAATAGCTTTCCAAGATCGACAGAGCTACTCACAGGAACACTTCAGCAAGCAAGAGTCCAAAAGTGGCAGGTTAAAACCCGAACGTCAAGCCCTGGCTGATCCCCAATGAGAGACTCCCTCCTGGGCACACAGAAGACTGGGTGACCTGGAAGGCGCTGAACAGACTGCGCTCTGGCACCACGAGATGCAGAGCCAACCTTCAGAAATGGGGCCACAAAGTGGAGTCCACGACATACGAGTGTGGAGAAGAGCAAACCACAGACCACTTACTACAATGCAACCACCTATTACAATGCAAAACAATAAAATAAAATGAGTTTTATTTTATTGTTTTGTATTATTGTTGTTATTGTTTTTACTGATGTATTGTGGGCTCGGCCTCATGTAAGCCGCACCGAATCCCTTGGGGAGATGGTAGCGGGGTACAAATGAAGTATTATTATTATTATTATTATTATTATTATTATTATTATCGTGAGCCCTACCCCATGCACAGTGGAGGACCTCCTTATAGCAACACCAGAGGCACTCCAAGTGGCCAGCTTCTCATCAAAGGACGTGTCCAGAGCAGAGCGACTAAAATGATCAGGGGTCTGGAGAACAAGCCCTATGAGGAGCGGCTTAAGGAGCTGGGCATATTTAGCCTGAAGAAGAGAAGGATGAGAGAAGATATGATAGCCATGTATAAATATGTGAGAGGAAGCCACAGGGAGGAGGGAGCAAGCTTGTTTTCCGCTTCCCTGGAGACTAGAACACGGAACAATGGCTTCAAACTACAAGAGAGGAGATTCCATCTGAACATGAGGAAGAACTTCCTGACTGTGAGAGCCGTTCAGCAGTGGAACTCTCTGCCCCGGAGTGTGGTGGAGGCTCCTTCTTTGGAAGCTTTTAAACAGAGGCTGGATGGCCATCTGTCAGGGGTGATTTGAATGCAATATTCCTGCTTCTTGGCAGAATGGGGTTGGACTGGATGGCCCATGAGGTCTCTTCCAACTCTTTGATTCTATATGCATTCCCCTTCCATTTATCCCTGGAACATTTAGCAAGACAGGTCCAGAAATAGTTTGGATCTTTGTGAAGGCAAACAAGCCATCTGATAGATCTTGCACCACTTGGTCTACACCCTTATATGTGTGAACGGAGTCATAGCTTAGTTTTGTGTCCTAGGTATTTTGCGCGTGAAAGATGATCTCTGTGGGCTCAGGCTGCTCCCACTCAAGCCTGGAAACATCCAGCCTTTCAAGCAGAAATCTAGCGACTAAGCGCATTAAAAATAAACTCATTTAAGCTACTTCCTGTCCAGCTGTCAGTAATGTCCTTGACTGACACCTACTGGGCACTTACTGAATTACAGGTGTGTTTCTTGTGCACCCGGAATAAAACGGCGCAAGCCCTAGTTATCCAAGTTCGGTCTGTTTCCTGGAAAAAGAGGCGGTGGTGGCGGCAAGAGGGGTGGAGGAGGGACACTTTGCACATGAGCATGCATGAGTGGCAAAGGGAGCGTGTGAGAATGCGGCATCGCGTGGGGAGGAGCTCCGGCCAGCAAGTGCGCCGAACTGGCGCTCTCGGGAGCGGCGAGACCCATGGAGTTTGCGTCGCTGTTGTTGGCGCCGGGATCCGAGGACAGAGGGGTGCTGACCCGAAAACACTTCTCCTTGTGGGCCTTGAGCATGTTGGAGAACCGGAAGCGCTGGCCGCAGACGTCGCATGGATAGGGCTTCTCCCCCGTGTGGGTCCGGCGGTGGCGCTTCATGTTGGGGCGGCTGGTGAAGCTCTTCCCACAGATCTCGCAGATGTATGGCTTTTCCCCTGGAAGATGAAGAAAAGAGGGAAACAATGATATCCGAGTCCCGCAGATCCAAAACCCAAGTGTTGTGACTCAGCTGGAACCACAGAGTGCCTCTGATGAGGATGATGGGATTCAGGATCACAATCTGGTTCAAAATGTCACTGTTATAGTCAATGAGGATCAGGGTGTTTCATCTATGCTGATGATCGTGCCATTACTGCTCAAGCAGGGAGATTTGAGATGGTTGAACAGAAGCTCTCCGAAGCTCTATCTCAGTGGTTCTCAACCTTCCTATTGCCGTGACCCCTTAATACAGTCCCTCGTGTTGTGGTGACCCCCAACCATAACATTGTTTTTGTTGCTACTTCATAACAGTCATTTTACTACTGTTATAAATCATAATGTAAATATCAGATATGCAAGATGTATTTTCATTCACTGGACCAAACTGGGCACAAATGCCCAATGCAACCACATGTAAATGCTAGTGGGGTTCGGGGAGAATTGATTTTGTAATTTGGGAGTTGTCGTTGCTGGGATTTATAGTTCACCTATAATCAAAGAGCATTCTGAACTGCAACAGCAATGGATTTGAACCTAATTTGCCACACAGAACTCTCATGACCAACAGAAAACACTGGAAGGGTTTGGTGAGTATTGACCTTGAGTTTGGGAGTTGTAGTTCACCTATATCCAGATAGCACTGTGGACTCATGCAATGGTGGATCTGGACCAAACTTGGCACAAATACTCAATATGCGCAAATGTGAACACTGGTGGAACCTGGGGGAAATAGACCTTGACTTTTGGGAGTTGTAGTTGTTGGGATTTATAGTTCATTAAAATCAAAGAACATTCTGAACTCCACCAACGATAGAATTGGCTCAAACTTCCCACATGGAATCCCCATGACCATCAGAAAATACTGTGTTTTCTGATGGTCTTTGGTGACCCCTCTGACACCCCTTCACGACCCCCTCAGGGGTCCCGACCCCCAGGTTGAGAAACACTGATCTAGCTGCTCTTACTGCCTATTACAGGGAAAACCAGCTGATCCCCAACCCATCTAAAACACAGACATGTGCCTTTCATCTCAAGAACAGAGAAGCATCCCGAGCTCTGAAGATCACCTGGGAAGGAATCCCACTGGAGCATTGCAGCGCACCCAAATACCTGGGAGTCACTCTGGACCATGTTCTTACCTACAAGAAGCACTGCCTGAACATCAAGCAAAAAGTGGGTGCCAGAAACAATATCATACGAAAGCTGACTGGCACAACCTGGGGATCACAACCAGACACAGTGAAGACATCTGCCCTTGCGCTGTGCTACTCTGCTGCTGAGTATGCATGCCCAGTGTGGAACACATCTCACCACACTAAAACAGTGGATGTGGGATTGACATAACTCAAAAACCACTGGACGAATTGCCGCCAAATTTGGACACAAGACACCTATTAATCCAAGGAGTGACCATTGTAGTGAAATCTACCTTTAAGGAGTCCAGGCCGAAGCCTGAGTATCAGTAGCTGTCATCTTGAAAGACAGGCAGAAGCAGGAGGAGGAGTCAAGCCGACTCCTGATTGGTCAGAGCAATTAGGGGAGGAGTCGGTTGAGAGAGGGAAAGAGGCTGTCAGCTTTTGACAGGGGGAGAAGTGTCTTGACATCAGACACAGAAGGAAGGGATTTTTAGGAGGGGAAGCTAAATAGGAGTCTGAAAGGGAAAGAAAGCTTTAAAGTGAGCCTTAAGGATAGGGAATAAGGTTGAGACAAGGGCTAGGGTTTTACTGTGTTGAGAGGACCAGTAAAAGAAAGACTTGTCTTCGTATACTAAGGGAAAGTATAAGAGAGCTTATTGCCCTGTGTGTGAGACAGATAGGGGTCTGTTCTCCAGTAGATACTGTTTCTAAGAATAGAACAGTGTGTTTAAGGAAACTCACAGTTTTAAAAGCTTTATTGTCAGTAGAACTATTTGTTTAACCCAACTAAGTCTCTACAACTGAATCACGCTTCTGTACCGCTCATTCTATGAGTAGATATTTGCTTAAAGTTTAATAAACCTTTTCTAGTTCACTTTTAACTGGTGTATGCCTCAGTCCGTCGATCTCCTCAGAACTAAGTCAAGTCAATTATAGAAACACTTTTAAAGTCAAGTCAGCCAGTAAAGCAGTTACAGAAGAACTAAGGGCAAACACACTTTACCTACAACACATTCACATATTTGGTTCCTCACACCAATAAAAACTGAGTTGGTGGCAGTCATATCTACCAAAAACATCGGCCATTGATATATTTAATCCATGGTCAGCTGCTAATTATTTCACAGTGGTGACAGTGGTGAGAATCTTTGTTCCCCCCTGCCCCAGATATCTTTGATCTACGTTACAACCATCACTAAAAAAAAATTGATTTGTCACTTGGGAGTTATAGTTGCTGGGATTTATAGTTCACCTACAATCGAAGTGCATTCAGAACTCCACCAATGATGGAATTGAACCAAACTTGGCACACAGGACTCCCATGACCAACAGAAAACAGTTTAGTGGGCATTGACCTTGAGTTTGGAAGTTGTAGTTCATCTACACCCAGAGAGCACTATGGACTCAAACAATGATGGATCTGGACTAAACTTGGCACGAATATTCCATATGCTCAAATATGAACACAGATGGAGTTTGGGGAAATAGACTTTGACATTTGGGAGTTATAGTTGCTGGGATTTATAGTTCACCTACAATCAAAGAGCATTCTGAACTCCATTAATGATGGGATTGTACCAAACTTGGCACACAGGACTCCCATGACCATCAGAAAACACAAGAAGGGTTTGATGGGTATTGACCTTGAGTTTGAGAATTATAGTTCACCTACATCCAGAGAGCACTGTGGACTCAAACAATGATGGATCTGGACCAAACCTGGCACGAATATTCCATTTGCCCAAATATGAACACAGATGGAGTTTGGGGAAATAGACTTTGACATTTGGGAGTTGTAGTTGCTGGGATTTATAGTTCACCTACAATCAAAGAGCATTCTGAACTCCACCAATGATGAAATTGAACTAAATGTGGCACATAGGACTCCCATGACCAGCAAAAAACACTAGAAGGGTTTGGTTGGCATTGATCTTGAGTTTGGGAGTTGTAGTTCACCTACATCCAGAGAGCCCTGTGGACTCAAACAATGATGAATCTGGACCAAGCTGGGCACGAATATTCCGTATGCCCAAATATGAACACAGATGGAGTTTGGGAGAAATAGACTTTGACATTTGGGAGTTGTAGTTGATGGGATTTATAGTTCACCTACAATCAAAGAGCATTCTGAACCCCACCAATGACATAATTGGGGCAAACTTGGTACAGAGAACCCCCGTGACCAACAGAAAATACTTAAGGCCTTCCAGTCCAACTCCCTTCACCAGGGCAAGAAAACATAATCAAAGCCCTCCTCACAGATAGACATCCAACCATAGATAGAGATAGATATATATGATTCACACACATACAGGTATATTATCATAGATTTGAAAGGGACCCCTAAACAAGGGCAATTCTATGTTGCATGTTCGGGAGTAGGCCAACCTGACACTCTCCACGTCAACACTGACAAAGAAACAGCAGGAAATACTGTTTACCCACAAGCAGAAAGAAATGACATATATTAGAAACCAACACTTTCTCATTCCTTTATTTTCCAGATCATTTCAAGCAGAAGAACCGATGGAAATAGTGGAAATGAAGAGAGGCACGTAAATTAAAAAAGGAGGGCAGGCAACACTGTACCTGTGTGTGTTTTCATGTGTTCGTCAAAGTACTGCTTCATGTTGAAGTCCTTCCCGCACCACTGGCACATGAACTGCTTGTGGCCGATGTGGATGCTCATGTGAGAGCGGAGCTGGTACTTGTACTGGAACCTTTCGTTGCAGTTCTGGAACCAAAAAGGACACATTTGAAGAAATTGAAAGGTAGAAAGAAGCATGCATGGAAAACTATTGTGAATCCATATAGTGCAAATGCAGAAAATGCAGCCAGAAATCTTCCCTGTTTCACAAAAGGATCGGTGAATCCTCTACACCAGTGGTTCCCAAACTGTGTTCTAGGTTCCACATCAGCATCATCAACTATTGCTATCAGGCACTGTATATCCTCAAATATAAGCCAAGTCTTCAGCCCTTTTTTAGGCTGAAAAAGCCCCCCCCCCCCCCCGCCCCTGCTTATACTCAAGTCAAAGTTATTTATTATTTTACTCTATTATTATTATTATTATTATTATTATTATTATTATTATTATCATCATCATCATCATTATTATTATTACATTTATTATTTTACTCTCTATATTATTTTATTACATTTATTATTTTACTCTATATATTATTGTTATAACATTTATTATTTTACTCTGTTTATTATTATTTTTACATTTTTTTGCTCTATTTATTATTGTCATTATTCCATTTATTATTTTGCTCTATTTATTATTGTTATTATTACACTTATTATTTTACTCTATTATTGTTACAGTTATTATTTTACTCTATTATTATTTTTGTATTGTCGAAGGATTTCATGGCCGGAATCACTGGGTTGTTGTACGTTTTTTCGGGCTATATGTCCATGTTCTAGAGGCATTCTCTCCTGACATTTCACCTGCATCTATGGCAAGCATCCTCAAACCTCACAACCTCTGAGGATGCTTGCCATAGATGCAGGCGAAACGTCAGGAGAGAATGCCTCTAGAACATGGCCATTTAGCCTGAAAAAACCTACAACAACCCATTATTATTTTTATTACATTTATTATTTTACTCTATATATTATTGTTATAACATTTATTATTTTACTCTATTTATTATTGTTACATTTATTATTTTGCTCTGTATATTATTTGTATTACATTTATTATTTTGCTCTATTTATTATTGTTATTATAACATTTACTTCACTCTATTATTGTTACATTTATTATTTTACTCTATTTATTATTATTATTATTACATTTATTATTTTGCTCTATTATTGTCATTATTACATTTATTATTTTGTTCTGTATATTATTTTTATTACATTTATTATTTGGCTCTATTTATCATTATTACATTTATTTTACTCTATTAAGGTTACAGTTATTATTTTACTCTATTATTACTGTTATCATTGTTGTTGTTGTTCATTCGTTCAGTCGTCTCCGACTCTTCGTGACCTCATGGACCAGCCCACGCCAGAGCTCCCTGTCGGCCGTTCACCACCCCCAGCTCCCTCAAGGTCAGTCCAGTCACTTCAAGGATGCCATCCATCCATCTTGCCCTTGGTCGGCCCCTCTTCCTTTTGCCTTCCACTTTCCCCAGCATAATTGTCTTCTCTAGGCTTTCCTGTCTCCTCATGATGTGGCCAAAGTACTTCAACTTTGTCTCTAGTATCTTACCCTCCAGTGAGCAGTCGGGCTTTATTTCCTGGAGGATGGACTGGTTGGATCTTCTCGCAGTCCAAGGCACTCTCAGAACTTTCCTCCAACACCACAGCTCAAAAGCATCGATCTTCCTTCGCTCAGCCTTCCCTAAGGTCCAGCTCTCACATCCGTAGGTTACTACAGGGAAGACCATGGCTTTGACTAGGCAATGGATCTTTGTTGCCAGTCTGATGTCTCTACTCTTCACTATTTTATCGAGACTGGACATTGCTCTCCTCCCAAGAAGGAAGCGTCTTCTGATTTCCTGGCCACAGTCTGCATCTGCAGTAATCTTTGCACCTAGAAATACAAAGTCTGTCACGGCCTCCACGGTTTCTCCCTCTATTTTCCAGTTGTCAATCATTCTTGTTGCCATAATCTTGGTTTTTTTGACGTTTAGCTGCAACCCGGCTTTTGCGCTTTCTTCTTTCACCTTGATTAGAAGGCTCCTCAGCTCCTCCTCACTTTCGGCCATCAGGGTGGTGTCATCTGCATATCTGAGGTTGTTAATGTTTCTTCCAGCAATTTTCACCCCAGCTTTGCATTCATCCAGCCCCGCACATCGCATGATGTGTTCTGCATACAAGTTAAAAAGGTTGGGTGAGAGTATGCAGCCTTGCCGTACGCCTTTCCCAATCTTGAACCAGTCTGTTGTTCCGTGGTCAGTTCTGACTGTTGCTACTTGGTCCTTGTACAGATTCCTCAGGAGAGAGACAAGGTGGCTTGGGATGCCCATCCCACCAAGAATTATTTCCATTATTTTACTTTATTATTATTATTATTATTATTATTAATAATACATTTATTATTTTGATCTATTAATTGTTATTATTACATTTATTTTATTATTGTTACAGTTATCATTTTACTCTATTATTACTGTTATCATTACATTTCCATTATTATACTCTATTATTATTAGTATTATTACATTTATTATTTTGCTCTATTTATTATTATTTTTATTATTACATTTATTTTACTCTATTATTGTTACAGTTATTATTTTACTCTATTATTACTGTTATCATTACATTTCCATTATTTTACTCTATTATTATTATTTTTATTACACTTATTATATTACCCTATTTATTATTATTGGAAGGATACATAAGCACATTTACATTGGAGAAGGTTAGAATAATGGCTTAATCAGAGTTGGACAGTCTTATCTTAAATTACAGTTTTAATTGTATTGTTTTATTTGCTTATTGCTTTGTTGTTTTTATTGATGTGTTGTTGGCCTGGCCTCATGTAAGCTGCTCCGAGTCCCCTTGGGGAGATGGTGGCGGGGTATAAATAAAGATTATTATTATTATTATTATTATTATTATTATTATTATTATTATTTTCCAGTTCTCGGTTCCAATGATAGTTGGGGATAGAGGTAGGATTCTGTGGGAAATTAATGTTTTCTGAATGGTTCCATGACCGAAAAAGTTTGGAAACCGCTGCTTCAGACTATGGGTGTATCCACACTGCACGGTTCTAGCAGTTTTATCCCACTTTTATTGTAACTCCATCCTCCAAAACACTTTGTAGCACTAAACTTTAGATCTTCCTGTGTGACATTATAAACCCCAAAATCCCACAACAGTCAACATGGCACCCCAGTGTGGCTTATCCTGCCACACTGAGATGGCCTCTCCGGAACAAAGTCTCCGCATTGTGTGAGCAAATTCAGACCTCATCCAACCCTTTGGAACAAAAGGCAGCTCCGTCTCACCTCACATTTAAACGGCTTCTCCCCCGAGTGCTGGAGAGAGTGCACCTTCAGCGACATGCTCCGCTTGAACGACTTCCCACACGTCTCGCAGGTGAAGGGCATGTCCTTGGTATGCGCTGGGGAGCAAAGAGAGGCACTGCGGTTATTGTGCAAAGCTGGTTGCAAAAGAATCAAGCAAACCAAGGGTGCGTCCACATGGCTGAATTAACGCAGGGAAGGCTAAAGACCTTGTAGAACTACAACTCCCAGGATTTCACAGCACTGACCCATGGCAATCCAAGTGGTGTCAAACTGCACTAATTCTACGGAGCAGACACACCTCAAGCCACATATTTTATGACTCTCTTATTTGGAGACTCAATATCCATCATTTTGAGTTATTGTAGTTTTTTCGGGTTATATGGCCATGTTCTAGAAGCATTCTCTCCTGACGTTTCGCGTGCATCTATGGCAGGCATCCTCAGAGGTTGCAAGTCATAGAATCATAGAATCAAAGAGTTGGAAGAGACCTCCTGGGTCATCCAGTCCAACCCCATTCTGCCAAGAAGCAGGAATATTGCATTCAAATCACCCCTGACAGATGGCCATCCAGCATCTGTTTAAAAGCTTCCTAAAGAAGGAGCCTCCACCACACTCCGGGGCAGAGAGTTCCACTGCTGAACGGCTCTCACAGTCAGGAAGTTCTTTCTCATGTTCAGATGGAATCTCCTTTCTTGTAGTTTGAAGCCATTGTTCCGCGTCCTAGTCTCCAAGGAAGCAGAAAACAAGCTTGCTCCTTCCTCCCTGTGGCTTCCTCTCACATATTTATACATGGCCCTCATCATGTCTCTTCTCTGCCTTCTCTTTTGCAGGCTAAACATGCCCAGCTCCTTAAGCCGCTCCTCATAGGGCTTGTTCTCCAGACCCTTGATCATTTTAGTCGCCCTCCTCTGGACACATTCCAGCTTGTCAATATCTCTCTTGAATTGTGGTGCCCAGAATTGGACACAATATTCCAGGTGTGGTCTAACCAAAGCAGAATAGATGGGTAGCATTACTTCCCTAGAGGTGTGGAGAAGAGCAAACTACAGATCACCTGCTGCGATGCAACCTGAGCCCTGCCACAGGTACAATGGAGAACCTTTTTATAGTAACACCAGAGGCACTCCAAGTGTCCAGATACTGGTCAAAAGACATTTAATCAACTACCAAGCTTGCAAACTTTGTGTTTTGTTTGTTTGTTTGTTAAAAATGCAATACAATTGTTTGGTTTGCTCCTGACACGATAGATAAATAAATAAATCCTCAGAGGTTGTGAGACCTCACAACCTCTGAGGATGCCTGCCATAGATGTAGACGAAATGTCAGAAAAGAATGCTTCTAGAACATGGCCATATAGCCTGAAAAAACTACAACAACCCAGTGATTCTGGCCATGAAAGCCTTCGACAATACATTGTCCAGCATTTTTCTTTTCTGTGCTTCAAAAAGCATCCCTCAGAAGTGTTTGTGGACCTCTCTAGGTCTTCTAGTGTGATTCTATATGGCATTTTTCCAGCCAAGGAATAGTCAAAATACAGATTTCACTATTTTCTGCTATGCTCATCTTTCAGCCCAAGTATAGTCAAAATACAGATATTACTATTCTCTGCTATTTCAGAGGGGGTCCTGGGATATATCTGAGGTCATATAAATAATGTTTGAAATAACTAAATAAATAAATAAATAAATAAATGGAAGATTCATGTGCCATTGCTCCTGCAATGTTTCCAACTGCATTTGCAAGAGAACACTAATTTGGAACGCTATCCCACAGCATACATTTGACTAATAGGAAGAAGGACAAATTAGAAAGCCTCTTTCTGACACTCTCTCTGCATGTAAGGATGTTTATCTGGAATTTAAATATGGGCAACTAGTCAAGATCATTCGTTTTGCAGACTGAAATAGGATGACTCACGCAATTCTGGCCCTGAAACACAGCTCTGGAGGGGATTTAGGGTGAAGATCAATTGTCGATTTGCAAGGTTTGGGTTAACAATCCTGAACTAGCAACATCCAGCATACCCACCGCCACAGGTTCCCCTCCGACTCACCAACCATGTGTTTCCGCACATGCGCCATGGTGTAGAACTTCTTCTCGCAGATCTCGCAGGAGAACTTCTTCTCCGCATAGCCGTGGACGATCTTGTTGTGTTCGTGGAGGGACCAGAGCTTCTTGAAGGCTTTCCCGCATGTTGTGCACTGCAAGAAAGCAGGACCAACGGATCGTGACAAGGAAAACTGTGATCCCATACAAATAATCTGGTGTGAGCCCAGGAACAGTTGTTGCGGTCAGCGGGGACATGTTGCAAGTAGATACAGGTTGAGTCTCCCTTATCTGGAAGTCCACAATCTGAAATACTCCCAACATTTTAAGCTTTTTGCTGCCAGCCGTCCACTTCCACATTTGGGGAAAGAGGGCTAGTCTCACATCGAAAACGGTGATCCCATACAAATAATCTGGTGTGTGCCCAGGAACAGTGGTTGTGGTCAGCGGGGACATGTTGCAAGTAGATACAGGTTGAGTCTCCCTTATCCGGAAGTTCACAATCTGAAATACTCCCAACATTTTAAGCTTTTTGCTGTCAGCCGTCCACTTCCACATTTGGGGAAAGAGGTCTAGTCTCACATCCAGAGAGGCGGAAGAGATGATGACCGCTTACATGAAGCTGCTATTGAAAGCAGATGTTGCAGATGTTTTTGGTGGTTAGGTTTAGCCACTTTGCTAAACTTAGTGGATAGAAATCTTTTTTCAGATTTTGAGATAACTCTTAAAAATCTCTGGTGGTGAATCACAGGACAGATTCCTGGATTCAGATTTCAAAGGTCAAGCATTGAGAAATCCCATTAACCACCAACTATAAGGTAAAGGTAAAGGTTGTCCCCTGACATTAAGTCCAGTCATGTCTGACTCTGGGGTGTGGTGCTCATCTCCATTTCTAAGGCAAAGAGCCGGCGTTGTCCGTAGAAACATCCAAGGTCATGTGGCCGGGATGACTGCATGGAGTGCCGTTACCTTCCCGCCAGAGCGGTACCTATTGATCTACTCACATTTGCATGTTTTTGAACTGCTAGGTTGGCAGAAGCTAGGGCTGACAGCAGAAACTCACGCCGCTCCCCGGTCAACAAGCTCAGCAGCTCAGCGCTTTAACACCACCAACTATATCCACCACAAAATGTGATAAATATGAGTGGTTTGAATGAAACTTTATGAAAGGTGTATGGCTGGGGCTTATATAGCCTGAAGATACCATCCTAAGAAGAGTAAGTTATGGAAAACTACAGTTTTCCAAAAATAACAGATCTTGTTATTTTTGTATGTTTGGTTTTAAATGTTTTATTGGTTTTAATGTTGTTATATTGTATTTTATATGTTGTATGGGACCATTGTGTGCTTGTAAGCCGCTTCGAGTCCCTTTGGGAGATGGTGGCGAGATATAAATAAAATATTTTATTATTATTATTATTATTATTATTATTATTATTATTATTATTATTTTACTGACACAAAAGCACAGTATGTAACAGCAAATGAGATAATGTTGTTATATTGTATTTTATATGTTGTATGGGACCATTGTGTGCTTGTAAGCCACCTCGAGCCCCTTTGGGAGATGGTGGTGGGGTATAAATAAAAGATATTATTATTATTATTATTATTATTATTATTATTATTATTATTTTACTGACACAAAAACACAGTATGTCACAGCAAACGAGATATATATGCTGGATTTCGTATCACAAAATCACAAGTCAAACGCTTCCCAAGCATCTAGGACTGTGTGATTATTATTATTATTATTATTATTATTATTATTATTATTAATTATGTGATTATTATTATGTGATTTTTTTGCAGTTTCTCAAGTCACTCCTGACACGACAAAAAATGTGATTATTATTATTGTTATTATTATTATTATTATTATGTGATGATTATTATTATTATTAGATAAATAATAAGATTAGTACACAGCAAACAAGATCACTATGCTTGCTGTTGTATTGGATCACACGTCGGACGCTACGCAAGTGTTTAGAACTATGTGATGCATCGGCAAATAATGCATACAGATCCGAGTACAGTGGCCTTTTGCACCTGACATATGGTAATTTTGTCAGCGTTGATTGCTTTCAAGTGGAGGCCAAGGTCTTTAGGCACTACATCCAGTTAAAATAATAATAATAATAATAATAATAATAATAATAATAATAATAAGCCGGTGAAGGAAAAACTACTAAACTGCTGACACTGATGACCAGAGACAATTATTAACTCTGTGGTGGAAAACAACATGTTTATACAGCCAGAAACAATGACTGTTTGAAGTTAAGGAAGTTTAAACACTGCTCCTTAATTAAGAAAAAGCCATTATCAGTTAAGGAAGAAAAGCTAACATCTGTCCAGAACTGATGGAGTCAGCATTGCTATATAAGAGACTTCCTAATTTTCCAAATGTGTGTCAGATCTGCAATGGAATGCAGAGACTTGTCAACCGCCAATTTCTCCAAAGGACGAAGGAAGATGGTGTATTAGCAGAATGGCAGGGAAGCGATCTGGTCTACATGTGGATCTCTTCTCCAGGAGCAAGAAGAAGGGATACGAATGATACATGAATGGGTGAATGTTTTTGTGTGTGTGAACGTTGAGTAAAACGTACTATCCCCCTTTTTGTTTGTTTCTGTATGCAATGTAGTTATAGTCTGTGTGTGTCTACTTTCTTTCTCTGTATTGCTCTGTGATATACTCTGCCACACTGAAAACTGAATAAAAGATCCCTTTTAATGTTTAAAAAAGCATTCATGACAAAAGAGAATGAAAAGGACTCAGAATAGCTACTTTCCTAAAAGGATAGAAAGTATCCTAGGAGCAAGGAAGACAAACTCCCTGGAGAACAAACTTTGTGAATGCGGAATGTGTGACTAGCCCCCTTTCCTACTTATCCCTCATTCACTACGTACATGTAAAGAGATATCTGAAAAAGGTTTCCTTCCACTAAGCCTCCACTCAATTTGGCAAAGTTGCTAAGTATTGGGCTGTTGTAGGTTTTTTGGGCTGTATGGTCATGTTCTAGAAGCATTCTCTCCCGACGTTTCACCTACATCTATGGCAAACATCCTGGCAGAACCTCTGAGGACGCCTGCCATAGTTTATTTATTTATTTATTTATTATTCAAACTTATATGCCGCCACTCCTCTGGGGCTCGGAGTGGCTTACAAGAACAGGCTAAAATCTAACACAATTCAAAAACAATTTAAAAACAATTTAAAAACAACAATACCAAAGACCAAAGGCCTGTCGAAACAGATATGTCTTACATGCTCTGCGGAAAGCTGATAAGTCCCGCAAGGCACGGCCTTCAGGTGGCAGAGTATTCCAGAGTGATGGTGCCACAGCTGTAAAGGCTCTGCGTCTGGTTGCTGTTAGACGCAAGGTCTTGACACTCGGAATTTCCAATAAATCTTGGTCCTCAGAATGGAGGAATCTTTGGGGTTGGGAGGGGGTGAGGCGGTCCCTCAGGTACATCGGTCCCAGACCATGCAAGGCCTTAAAGGTGAGTACCATCACTTTGGTAACCAATGCAGCTGCAGTCAGATTGGGGTTATGTGGCATCTCATCGGAATTCCCACAAGAAGCCGAGCAGCTGCATTTTGTACCAACTTGAGCTTCCAGATCACCGACAGAGGAAGGCCAATGTAGACGGCGTTACAGTAGTCCAGTCTTGAGATGACCGTGGCCTGGATCACCGTAGCTAGGTCGTCCCTGGACAGGGAGGGGGCCAGCCGTCTAGCCTGCCGCAGGTGAAAGAAGGCGGTTCTGCTCATGGCGGAGACTTGGGCCTCCATCGTCAGCAGAGGGTCCAAAAGGACTCCCAGACTCTTGACCAATGATGACGGGCGTAGCGCCTCACCATCCAGGGCAGACAGCTGGATATCCCCACTGCCCGGTTGACCCAGCCATAGGATCTCCGTCTTTGCTGGATTTACCCTCTCCTGACATTTTGCCTACATCTATGGCAGATATCCTGGCAGAACCTCTGAGGATGCCTGCCATAGTTGTAGGCGAAACGTCAGGAGAGAATAATTCTAGAACATGGCCATACAGCCTGAGAAACCTACAACAACCCAGTGATTCCAGCCATGAAAGCCTTCAGCAATACATTGCTAAGTATTTTCTACCACTGAAGGTGAAAACATTTGGGTCATATGTTTTCAACAGCAGGTTTGTGTAAACAGTCATCATACCTTCCTTCTCTTATTGAGGCTTCTTGAGGAAAAAGCTCAGAGGGTGCAGGACTAGCCCCCTTTCCCCAAATGTCAAAGTGGGCAGCTGGCAGCAAAAAGTTTCAGATTTTTGGAGTATTTCAGGTTCTGAATTCTCAGACAATGGAGACTCATCCTGAATTTACTTGCGACATGTCCCACTGACCACAATTATTTATTATTTATTTATTTAGAGTTTTTATACCCCAGTCTTCTCACCTCCAGCTAATAACATAAAATTCAATACAATAAGAAAAACATTATAGGTCATCAATATAAAATACATTACAATACACTTCATACAATTCATACAAATGACAGCAAAAATCAGTTCGTCCAAAAGAATCACAAATTCATCGCCATCCGTCGGAAAGGTCAGCAGTTATTGACTCAGTCAACATTCTGCGAATGCAGTATCCCAAAGTCATGTTTTTACCTGCTTTCTAAACGTCAGGAGGGAAGGGGCAGATCTAATCTCCATCGGGAGGGAGTTCCAAAGCCAAGGGGCCGCCACCGAAAAGGCTCTGTCCCTCGTTCCCACCAAACGCGACTGCGAAGACGGTTGGACTGAGAGCAGGGCCCCTCCAGAAGATCTTAACAACCTTGATGGTTCATAGGGGAGAATCCGTTCGGACGGGTAAACTGGGCCAGAGCCGTTTAGGGATTTATAGATCAACACCAGCACTTTGAATTGTGCTCGGAAGCTGATTGGCAGGCAGTGGAGCCTATTTTATATTGTATCATAAAAGAGAAGATCCGGGGGAATGGGCAGTTTTTGAGGGGAAAGACTCAGGACTTAAAAGCCAAGTGTCACATATGTAACACTTCCCATTGAGGGATCTTGACACGATGGTGTCGGAGTGTATATCAGAGAGCACAACAACAGTTCCTGGAGATGGATCAAATGGCTTGTATGGGATCACAGGTAAGTCAAGTTTTTATTTTAAACCTGAAATTACGTATACCACCTTTTCTTAAACGGCGTTATGGCATACACTAATGCTTTCTTGCTATGCTCCAAAGACATATCACATGCACATTTTTATGCTTTTTTTTTATCTGGCTGGCCATTTGGGGAAATGAGTTACTGGGCACGATGGATCTTTCTTCAAATGCAGCATTGAGGGCTAGAAGATGGCTTTGGTAAACAAGAACTAAAATTCTTTGCTCAAAACAAAAGCAAAATGGTTGCGGCCAGTACTAAAGTCTATGCCCACATTGTGCAAATTGCACACTGGTCTCCAACCCTATTTACAAAGCATCATAATGAATCTTAATAGAAAGCGGTGGTGTCCCATTGGGAAACCATGGAGGACAGAGAAGTCATAATGAAGAGGTCTCACCTGGATGTTCTTCTCACAGTCCGTCTGGTGGTGCAGCAGCAGCTCACTCTCCAACAGAAACCTCTTGCCACACTTGTCACAGATCTGCATGCGGCTGTGTGTGACATTCATGTGCTTTTCCAGGTACCAGCGGTTGTTGAAGACCCGGGGGCACTTCTCACATGGGTAGTGCTGCTTCTCTTCCAACTTGACCTTCTGGCCAAGACTGTCCTGCTCCTTCTTCTTCTTCTTGCCTCTTTGGTCTTCTCCTTCCTCCTCAGTTTCTTCCTCTTCCTCCTCCTCTTCTTCGTCCTCTTCCAGAGTTACCGAAATGGTAGCCACCTCCTGGGATCCAGTGGACACAGACATCTTGGTTGCCTTGGCTACCTTGCCACTGGGCCTCTGAGTGGCCCCCGACTTCTCCATTTTGATCTCAGCCATCACCTCCTCCCCTTCCTCATCCACTTCTCCTTCCTCCTCCTCCTCGGTAGTCTCTTCCACGTCCTCTTCTTCAGTGTGCTCTTCCTCTTCCTCCTCCTCCTCCGCTTCAGCGTCCTCCTCCTCTTCCTCCTCCCTTTCTCCGTTCTCCTTCTCTCCATTCCCCACAGTGGCAGGTCCTTCCCCTTTAGACCGCCCAATCACTGTGGCAACAGTTGTCACTTGGTTGGCACTGGCAGGTTTCCCCTCTGTCCCCTTTGAGACATTGAGGGTCTGGTTGTTGAGGTTGACTTCTACAATGATCTGTTCACCACGGCTGTAAGATCCCCGGTCAACTAGGACCTCCTCAGATTGTCCACCCTCCATCTTGCAAACGGGAGGGCTGCCTCCTTCTCCCTCTTTATACAACTTCCTCCCAGCTACGACCGAGGGGTTCTGGTTGCCTCCCCGTGTGGTGCTGTCCTCCACCCGCACCGAAAACGACTCGTTCCCTTCCCGGGAGTAGATCTTGGGGTTTGAGGAATCCAGCTCTTGCTTGATCTCGCAGTAATATTGAGATGGGGCATTTTTTCCACAACTATCTGGTGGCAATGCCATATTGCTCGCCATGGCCAAGCTGAGAGACCGGGTGTTGATGAGCTCCTGGCAGGAGGAAGCAATGTTGCTCATCTGCAGGACTCCTGCGGCGCTCAGGACGTCCTGGACGTTCAAGACACTCACCAAGAGCTTGGAGGTATAGATGAAGTTCAGGATCTGTTGGAGGCCTTGGGAGGTCAGGGTCTCCAAGGAAAGCTCTACTCGCTGGAGCTGCTTGTTCCGGGTGAAGAGGGAATGGAAGAACGGGCTGTAGGCAGCGAGGACACCCTTGTGGGCCGGGAAGACGCTCTTCTGTTGCCCCAGCACAATGTCGACGTCACACAGGTCTGGCTGAAAGAGGCGCTGCTCATTCAGTCTGTCCATCAAACAGGTGAAGTGGAGAGCTACATCCTCCACCAAAGAGTACTCAGCAGTTGGGTAGTCAGTTGTCTTTTCAACTATCAGCTATCAGGAGAAGAAGGAAAAAATACAGATCAAGAATAGCTCTATGGAAACCCAACTACTGTCTCCTTTGTCCTCAAATGGTCTAAGTTTGGCAGACTTGAGGTTCTGATTCCTATTCTATGTCCAACCACGACCATGAAGATCAACTAAGAAAGACTTGCAATGGAGGAGAGCCCAAAACACTTTGAGGATTCCTGTAGTTTTCCTCCATATTTGCTGGAATTGACTAGAAATATATAGATCCTCCAACACAAGTCTTTAGTCAACTTCCAGGAAACGGCTACCATATGGAAGAAGAGAGAGGATATTGTTTGCCAGAGTGAGTAGATCAAACCGCAGGTAATGGTTCCCCCCATTATGAAAGTTGTACTGTTCAAGAATTTCAAAACATAAGTAGATGAAGGCACAGTTGGGCCTTCATATTTGGTATTAGGATGAAGGACTCTTAACCCAAGAGAACACCTCTCTAAGAATGTCTAGACCAGTAGTTCTCAACCTTCCTATTGCCACGACCCCTTAATAGAGTTCCTCCTGTTGCAGTGACCCCCCAACCATAAAATGATTTTCATTGCTACTTCATAACTGTCATTTTGCTACTGATATCAATTGTACTGTAAATATCTGATGTATTTTATTTACTGGATCAAATTTGGCACAAATACTCAATACACCCAAGTTTGAATACTGGTGGGGTTGGGGGGATTGATTTTGTTATTGGGGAGTTGTAGTTGCTGGGATTTATAGTTTACCTACAATCAAAGAACCTTCTGAACTCCACCAATGATGGAATTGAACCAAACTTGGCACACAGAACTCCCATGACCAACAGAAAACACTTTGGTGGGACCTTGAGTTTGGGAGTTGTAGTTCACCTACATCCAGGTAGAGCACTGTGGACTTAAACAATGATGGATCTGAACCAAACTTGGCAAGGATACTCAATATGCCCAAATGTGAACAGTGGTGGGCTTTGGGGAAGATAGACATTGACACTTGTGAGTTGTAGTTACTGGGATGTATAGTTCACCTACAATCAAAGAGCATTCTGAACCTCACCAGTGACAGAGCTGGGCCAAATTTCCCACACAGAAACCTCATGACCAACAGAAAATGCTGTGTTTTCTGATGGTCTTTGGCGATCCCTCGCGACCCCTCCAGGGCTCCCGACCCCCAGGTTGAGAAACACTGATCTAGACTAATGGTTCTCAATCTGTGGGTCCCCAGGTGTTTTGGCCTTCAACTCCCAGAAATCCCAGTCAGTTTACCAGTTAGGATTTCTGGAAGTTGAAGGCCAAAACATCTGGGGACCCACAGGTTGAGAACCTCGTCTAGATCCTCCTCTGCCAAAAGTTGACCACGGAATTGCTTTGGAGGACCTCCAAATGCTCATGGTCAGCTTCCAGCAGAGGTTGACTATGCAGCCACACTGGAGAACCTTGGGAAAGACCTAGAAAGACCATCTGAATCATATCCACAAAAGTTAAACCCGGCTGTATGTGAGTTTGCATACCAAGGAGAAGCTGCTTCAAACATCTCCCAATGTTTATCTGGTGTAAGGCAAGGAACAGCCGAGGTGTTACATGAAAGAAAAAAAGAGAACAAAAAGCCACTTGACCTTCACACAGGAATTCTGGTTGCTCGCCCTCGAAAGATCGTTGCACATCTTCAGCAAGGTAATTGCAACCCATTAAAATTGTGACTCATTTGCTGCTTTAAGAGATCTCATTAAGATGAGTTAAGGCACACTTGCAATGGCTGCGTCCCTCTTGTTTTCCACTTTCTAAAAACTGCCAGGGGCAAAGTATCACCTCCAAAACTTTAAGAGTCACCTTTGAAGAGGCTTTCCAGTAGGAACCTGGCCACTGGGAAGATCAGTCGCCGACTCTTACTAGAGAGAAATGAAAAGGTTCTTTGATGGAGCAAAAGGAATTGGCTCCAGAAGGAAGGAAACTCATAGAATCACAGAGTTGGAAGAGACCTCTTGGGCCATCCAGTCCAACCCCATTCTGCCAAGAAGCAGGACAATCGTATTCAAAGCACCCCAACAGATGGCCATCCAGCCTCAGTTGAAAAGCCTACATAGAAGGAGCCTCCACCACACTTCGGGGCAGAGAGTTCCACTGCAGAACAACTCACACAGTTAGGAAGTTCTTCCTAATGTTCAGATGGAATCTCCTTTCTTGTAGTTTGAAGCCATTGCTCCGCATATTAGTCTCCAGGGCAGCAGAAAAAAAGCTTGCTCCCTTCTCCCTTTGACTTTGCCTCACATATTTATACATGCCCCTCATCATGTCTCCTCTCTGCCTTCTCTTTCGCAAGCTAAACAGGCCCAGCTCTTTAAGCCGCTCCTCAGAGGGCTTGTTCTCCAGACCCTTGATCATTTTATTTGCCCTCCTCTGGACACATTCCAGCTTGTCAACATCTCCCTTCAATTGTGGTGCCCAGAATTGGACACAATATTCCAGGTGTGGTCTAACCAAGGCAGAATAGAGCATGGGGAGCATGATTTCCCTGGATCTAGACACTAGACTCCTATTGATGCAGGCCAAAATCTCGTTGGCTTTCTTAGGTGTAGAATTGCATTGTTGGTTCATGTTTTACTTGTTGTCTACGAGGACTCCAAGATCTTTTTCACACATACTGTTGTCAAGCCAGGCATCGTCCTCCATTCTGTTTCTTTGCATTTACTTTTTCTGCCTAAGTGGAGTATCTTGCATTTGTCCCCAACTCTTTGGGGTTTCCAAAAAGTAATCACAATGATTCCAGAAGAAGGCCTCATGCACATCTTAGTTTCTGACAGTACAGTCGGTCCTCTCCTTCGTATCCAAGGATTCAACCATCCAGAGCTTGAAAATACTCAATTTTTTTCCAAAAAGTAAAACTTTGATTTTGCCATTTTTATACAAAAGGCACTATTTTATTACATTATTATTGTATATAATGGGACTTAAGCATCCATGGATATTGGTACCTGGGCCGAAACCCCACTAGATACTAAGAGACCGCCAAGGATGAGTATCCTGTACAGGGATACGAAAAACAGACCGCCGAAGCCACTGTTCGGTTTACCTGTTTTGACTAATCTCCTGCCACCTATCTATTTGCTTATTAAGTTTTGCAGCTGGGCCAGGTACCCAGTTGTTTTCAAGCCCCAAATCCTGAGAACTCTCTGGTAGCAATTCAGGGAGTACACCATCATCCCCACACCCTTCAGGGACATTCTCATGGGAAACTACACCTTGCACAGGGGTCTCCTGGTCCTTCTCTGCATCAGTATCATTGACAAAACCATTGCCATCTTAAAATTAATTGGCATCACTTCCCACATCCAAAGCACCCTGATCCTGAAACACAATCACAAGCTGAACTCCAGCACTGAGAGTTTAATGGAGTCTGAGCTCTGAATAGTCTCAGATTTGATTCTTATCTTTTTCTGTCGGATTCTGGCACACCGCCGAAGCCACTGTTCGGTCTGCCTGTTTTGACTAATCTCCTGCCGCCTATCTATTTGCTCATTAAGTTTTGCAGCTGGGCCAGGTGCCTAGTTGTTTTCAAACCCCAAATCCTGGGAACTGTCTGGTAGCAATTCAGGGAGTACGCTATCATCCCCACACCCTTCAGGGACATTCTCATGGGAAACTACACTTTGCACAGGGGTCTCCTGGTCCTTTTCTGCATCAGTATCATTGACCAAACCATTGCCATCTTGAAATTCATTTGCATCACTTCCCACATCCAAAGCACCCTGATCCTGAAACACAATCACAGGCTGAATCCCAACAGAACAGTCATCAGAGGCAACCCCACGTAGAGTGCGTTGCAGTAATCTATACGGGATGTAACCAGAGCGTGGACCACTGTAGCCAAGTCCGATCTCCCAAGATACAGACGCAGGTACCACACAAGTTTATGCACAATGCTTTTTCTCCAGCAGCCCACTACACTTCAGGAGGTTAAGTGTTGCGCACGGGATCACATTCCACACTTCAAGAAGGCAACCGAAACCAGTGGCAAGCGGGTAGGTCCCTGAAACTCAACCCAGCTTTGCTCTGCATGTCTTCCTCCAGAGAATGGTTTTACAATTCTGGAACGATAACGGCGGAGTCTTAATTGCAGAGATAAGCTGCCCTCTGAATGTAGTCCTTGAGGAATAAATGATGGAACGATTCCGAACGGGTGGGTTTTGGTTTCCTTTTCTTGCCAGCGACTGCTCTCAAAAGATCACTGATGCTGAGGTTCTCTCCCTCAATTTGCCAAGCCATGCCTATTCCTCGCTTCTTTCAATCTCTCATTTCTATCCAATTCGCTTCCCCAGCCAACATTTTGGAGCTGACCTCCATGGGGACAACACCAAGGGAATATTGAACAACTCATTTTAAAGACAGGCAACTAGATTTCCTTTTCAAATGTTTTGCGGATTGGAACAGGGACAGATGGGAGGTGGGATGATGGGGGGGGGGGGGAGAACACAGAAACCTGATTACACCAGATTGGGATGGGGGAGAAAACCGGAGCTGTTAAAGCTGTTTGTTGAAAGCGCAGTTGGCTGTGAGTACATATTATGAAACGCGGCACGTTCGTAAAAGACCAGCCCAAAGGCTCGTAAAAGCAAACTTGAGTGAGTGAATATGCTGGCAAAGCATTTACCTGACAGTATCAGGAGGCAGTGCTCACAATAGAAGACCTCTGCTCTGTTCTAGGTGCCTCAACTCATATGTTCTAGGTGTTGCAACTCTCCTCTAAGAAAGAGGTCCCATGGTGCGGAATAAATTGAATACATAAATGAAATTAAGAGGTATCTTGTTCTAGTTCTCTGAATACCTCTGCTTTGTCTTTCATCTATATAAATAAAAATGTAATGTTTGTGGGATTAACAGAACTCAAAAACCACTGGACAAATTGGCACCAAATTTGGACACAAGACACCTAACAACCCAATGTATGTCCTTCACTCAAAAAAATTGATTTTGTCATTTGGGAGTTGTAGTTTCTGGGATTTA